GGGGTGAATCACGCACCGTGGATTGATTGTGGTTGACACGTCATCCCACCTACGTCCTTGCCGCCCCAACCAGCCCCCTTATCCCCTCTACTGTGTCTCGTTGTGGTAGGTAGATATCGACCAACACCGAGCGAACATCAGGATGCATCATCCAAGCCCTAGTCTCTTGCATCATCCGTCGCGTTTCATCGCAGTGAACAAAATCTCGAAAAATCTTCGAAAGGAAAGCGCGATATGGAGGGAAACGTCGCCGCGAGCGTTTCCGCGCCATAAAGACGACTTATCTTGGCCCGGGCCAGCCTTTGCTTTGTGACCGGCGCGTGAAACGCATGGCGCCGTGAAGTGACAGAGAAGGAAGCCGCGCCTGTTGCCTTTTGGGGCGTCACCGGGCTCAGCCTCTCGCTCTGGTGCCCAAGTTCGCGCCTCTGCTGTCTTATCAGAGAAGGAAGGGGGGAGGGGGGGCAGGGCCTGAGGGCCTAATGGGCGGGGCCGCGCAGTGGTAACCGCTGACCGCCGCCTCATCCGCCGCGCCCCGCGCCAGTCGGGCAGGCTTTGTCATCGGACGCTCATGTCGTTCACGTCGGTCTCTCCCGCCCTCCCGGGCGCTCCCACGTCGGTGAGTAATGCATACACCTCGGCATACACACTCTAGATGTAAAGAAAAAAATGTGTTCCTTAGACAGGAACGTTTCTGTGTGCACCCAGGTCCAGGCCGGATACAAATTTGTTCCTAAAACAGGACAAATTGTGCAAAACTTAAATTTTTTGTCCAGTTTCAATAACCAGTTCGCATCCGGTCTGGATGTGCACAGAGACGTTCAAAATTGCTTCTTCACATTAAGATTGAAGGGTATCGTCAAGAAAGTACGTCCGGTTTTCTCAGATTCATTCGTCAAAATACGGGAGCTTGGCGCCTGCGAGACTCGGGGCAGGCCGACCCGCAGTACTCGCATGCATTGCAGGCAAGATGTTGCCTACCCATCGGGCGCTATGCGATCTTGCGTAGGCTGCTGAACTTGACAGGACCATGACGGAGAATGACCGACGAGCTTTCTGCGGCTTTTCAACTCACCTCACGTGTGTGCGCATGGCCACCATATGGTCACGTCGAACATGGCCACACACAGAGTTTTCTCAGAGGGAACGTGCTTTGGCCAGTCGGGAGAAATGATTCTCTCTAAACCATAACAACTTTCTATGCGTGACGTACCCGCGGCCAGCTTGTTAGGTGTTAACAATGATATTGCTGAGAAAGTTATTTCTACCAATACACAAGTGATAAACCGGTAAACAATTGTGAGAGCTCAACTTGATAATTGTGCACTCAACAGCAAAGTTTAACAGTTGCAAAGTAGTGCACAACTACCGTGTTGAACACCTACTTAATCAGTGCACCTTTGACAGGATACGTTGTTGATAGCTTATCAATCAGATTGTGCCACTACGGCTGAGAGTGTGTTCACCATCTATATATTATCCTCCACTGTCCCCCCGACCGATGAGAGAGCTGATGTCCTCTGGGGGTGGGTGGATCCATGCCCTGAGAGAAAAACCAATGAGGGTGACTGCTGCTGCACCGCACTCGACCGCACCAAGGTCCTCAATAAATTACACGGGCCTCGGTGTCTCGGGGTCGCCCCCCCCCCCCAAAAAAAAATCCCCTACGCATCAGGGGGGTGGGAGTGGGATACGACTGCCCCCTTTGCCCCCCTCCCATAAACGCCTGAACGGTAGGCAATCTGAGCTACCAACCCCTGTATATAGTCAACTTGATAAGCCCCCCCCCCCCTATCAGCCCTTATGCCAACCCTGGATCCTGCTGTGGGTGTTCACGATTGAGAACTACCTGGAGGGGTGGCAGCAGCGTCGCTTACCAGGAGCCTAGCAGCAGCAGCAGCAGCGGCAGGCTCGTCGCCAGGAGGGACAGGGACGCCGCGGCCATTGCGGGGAGACTGGCCCTGCGGGGCTCGCCGGGGCGAGGCTCGCGCGTCCCGATCGCGGACTTATCTGGCCGCTGCGCCTCTCAGGTGGCCCGATAATCTTTGCGCGATGCCCACCGGGGGCCACCTGGTGGCGCGCAGAGCGGGCGGTGGGGACCGGTAGAACAGCCACCGCATACAATACGCCGGCCCTAGTTGTGAGGGTTCCAAATTTCTTTCCGGATCGCGGTAATAATTGCCTTTCCGCTCAGATCGAGGCGTCGGGACATAATACGTAACTATAAAGCAGCGCGGGAAAAAAAAGAACACAACACGGGGAAGTACATGGGGGCGAAACAGTTTGAAGCTTCCCTCCATCAAATCAGGGTGTGAAACCCTACACTGCGAATATACCCTCGCTAGGTTCGAGTAGCTGAAGTCCCTACGTGGGGCCTTCAGCAGTTTGGGAATCAGAGTGGACGATATTTCTTAGCGTTGTATTTTAAAATCATCACTAAAGGAATTCATTTTAAAATTAATAACTTGACTAATCCTGCAAAGGGAAATAGGGTTTATATTGGCAACATCGCATAGCACTCGTCACTTGGGGCTTCTGTCGTCTGCTACATGTTTACCCAATCGCCGGTGCTGGATGCTGGATTTCGATAACTTTTCTTATTGTACTTTCTTTGTTTGTTTGATAGAAAATGGCCAATCCGACACGTACTCCGTCTCAAGACGAAGTAACATACTTCTACATTGGTCTTGGCCTAGCGATTGGTTCGACCATCTTTATTGGTGAGTAGTAGTTGCCATGACGTAACCTGTCAGTTTCTAAATGAAGAAGCCAATGTGTCAGCTTAACCCTTGTTTTGTTTTGTGTTATTTTTTACATTTTATCCATAAACGTATCCTTTTTATTATCCGTTGTTTGTGGCTGGTTACTATTAAAACTCACGTGGTCCTGGTATAATAAAACACTCTCTCTTGCCTTGCATGTGTCTCTTGCAGGAAGCAGCTTTATTATCAAGAAAAAAGCTTTGATTCACATAAACAGGGCAGGTGGAGTCCGCGCTGGAGCTGGTGGATTCGGTTATTTGAAGGATTGGATGTGGTGGGCTGGACTGATTACAAGTAAGTAAGCAACTGCTTCAGAATGCGCAACACACACAACTCTAACCAAAATACTTTTAATATTTAATAGTTGATTACGAATGACTGCTCCCAGGACATTGTTCTAACAGTTAACTGGTGAATGTGAATTAACAGCCTCAAGGTGGCCTTACTTTTAGGGTGTTTGTTGTTTCATGCCTTCTTGTTTTCTACTTGCTCGGTTAATGTGTTTATTGTAACCCAAGTGTCATGCAGAGTGTTCAAGATGCATGGTCGTACATTTGAACACACTTCTTGACACTTGAGTGACCCCAGCATTTACCTAAAACAGCATGGTGCTGGAGCTCGGGCGGACACTGTAAGTGTAAGGCCATCTTTAGAAGTGAAATGTGGTTGGTGCTCAATTGCATGTCAGTTATAAGTCTCCCAAGAACTGTTTTCTGCAATGTTAGTTCTTCTCTGCCTTAACAGTGGGTGTTGGAGAAGCCTGTAACTTTGCAGCATACGCATTTGCTCCCGCTGCTCTCGTAACTCCTCTTGGGGCTCTAAGCGTCTTGGTGTCAGCTGTTCTTGCATCACATTTTTTAAATGAGAAACTTAACTTGTTAGGCAAGGTTGGTTTGAGAATTTTTTAAAAAATACTATGTGTTAAAACATGTTCCAACAACAAAGGGAATATTATTTTCTTTCTGTGTCTTGCCTCATAGCTCGGCTGCTTTTTGTGTATCCTGGGCTCAACTGTGATTGTGATTCATGCACCTCATGAAGAAGAAGTTGAAAGTCTTGACATGCTGGTTGAAAAGCTTCAAGAACCTAGTATGAAATCTTTTCACTTTCATATTTTGTTTTAATTTAAGTTTCAGTATTACAAATCATTTTTTTAAATCCTTTTTTTCCCTGAAGGTTTTTTAGTATATGAAGTCCTCATTATTATCTTGGCATTTGTGCTAGCTTGCTACATTGGTCCCAAATATGGCCACAGATATGTGGTGGTTTACGTCCTCCTTTGTGCCTCTGTTGGCTCTGTCACAGTATTAGGGTGCAAAGGCCTCGGACTGGCACTGAAAGAAGCAATATTGGGTCAGGGTAACCTTCATCTAGCCAGTTGGCTCACATTTACTCTACTAGTAATTGTGGTCATATGCATTATGGTTTGTACCAAAAAATATATTCTACTTAAAACTGTATGCAGCGCTCCAAAACGTTGATATTACTGGCCAATTTTTTTGTTCTAGGTTCAGATGAACTACCTAAATCGAGCACTGGATCTCTTCAACACAGGCATTGTTACACCTGTGTATTATGTACTATTTACAACTTTTGTTGTCCTAGCCTCAGCTCTGCTCTTTAGGGAGTGGGAAAATATGTCTGCTGTTGACTTTCTGGGAAGTGCTTGTGGATTTTTGATTGTCATAGTATCAATTATTCTTCTCAATACTTTCAAGGACATGGATGTTTCTGTCTTGGAAGTAAAAGGGTAAGTTTCTTTAGCAAATTTATTAAAAATTGAACATTCAATTTTCTAAGCCTTGTAAAAAGCTAAAAAGTTTACACAAACAAGAAAAACCTATTCAATTTATGAATTTTCTCTGTTAAAAGGATGATGAAACCTAAACGGGAGCTATTATCCTCTGGACGTTCATTCCATACTGTGCATTTGAAGGAAGATGACCCCATCAGTCGCCAAGGCATCAGTAAGAAGTCATCCTATGGCAGTGATTTCAGCAATACAATTTGATGATGCTCACTTGTGTTTTGAAAGGATGAATGTTTCCGTCCAGTTCAGCACAGTACTCTGAAGCAGATAGAAAAGACTCAATACCAGGTGCAGGTGTTTAGATTTTAATAATTTGTATTTTTTTGACGTAGTTCAGCTTTTTGCTTTAATTTCTCACCTTTGTAAACAAAATGTAGAAGTTTCTTTGTAGCATCTTGGCACCCTTCCGTTCATGTACTGAGTATTATTAATGATTAATACTCAATGTAGATAGTAAGTACTTCTTGTTCAATAATTTTCATTGTTATGTCTGAAATTGCTTTGAAGACTGCATCATGGACAGTATTAAATTGAGGAACACACAATGTACTTATAATTTACATGAGTAAGATCCTAGTGTATGTCAGATCTGATATTTTTATAACAACTAATTTGGAATTTACTTAACATTGAAGACTGTAATTAATGGATTATTATAATCTGTCTAGTCTTCTGTACCAAAGTACAGAATGTAATTGTCTATTATTTTTTACAATATTTCGATTGGTTCGACCATCTTTATTGGTGAGTAGTAGTTGCCATGACGTAACCTGTCAGTTTCTAAATGAATAAGCCAATAATGTGTCAGCTTAACCCTTGGTTTGTTTTGTGTTATTTTTTACATTTTATCCATAAACGTATCCTTTTTATCCGTTGTTTGTGGCTGGTAACTATTAAAACTCACGTGGTCCTGGTATAATAAAACACTCTCTCTTGCCTT